CCAGAAATGTGATATTAACATCCAAGGACTTGAAAGATAAGAATGTTTAAGATGGCTGACGACAGCAGCATAAAGCAGTTTTTATACTAACTGCCATCCATTACTCCATTAAACAATTGACCCCTGATGAACTCAGTGTATCTTTGTGCCCATTAGCAGTGCTGATCATACAATATATCACTCTAGCCTTTCTGCCCACAACAAGCTTCAATTTCACTATCTAGTTAGGCCCAGGCTCTCCATCAGCTGGGATGATGTCACTCTGTTGGGTTTGTGTCTTTTACTTCAATCGGCCACTGTAGAGCAGTTTGTTCTGCTTGGTTTCACACTGCATGATGTCTAGATCTTTGCCAGAAGAGAAGTCATACAAGCTAAAAATACTGACCTCTAAATGCCCATTCATTCTTATCCTGGTTTCAGACCTTCCCGATTCGCCATCCACATCTCAGATTTGTTCAGCGATTTATGTGTCCGGTGTTGTGTCCACTGAGGCTATTTCCACTGGCTGGAGAGACAACTGTCCAATCAAAGCTTCGTAGACGGGATGAAAAGTAGGGATGTCAGAAAAATGGCGACATGCGTGGATGAGATCAAGGCAGCTGTATAGGTTGTTTAGTCAACTAACAGATATCACAACTCTAAAAACAACATATTTCTTACTTAACTGCTCCTATACCACTACCATGGCTTCTGGTGTGGCAGAAAATGGCTGTGGCAAGACAGTAAGTCAGGTGTTCCTGACTGAGATTGGCTCTCCTATCTTATATTTTGCCCTACTGTTTAGACCAAGGTAGGTTCCCTTTAATGTGTCTACTTCTTGTTTTGTCTGACCAACAATCCAGAACTGAAAGATATTCAACTGACTGTATTAAACAGAAAAGCAACAAATCGTCACATCTGAGAAGCTAGAAACCAGGAATGTTTGGAAATTGTTGCCCGATAGTACACTGTATCAATAATACTCTTTCCCACTACACTCCAAGTTTCCCAGGACAAAAGATTCACTTTCAAAACCCCAAGCTTGGTGAACAACTAATTAATATGGGTGACACACAACCAACAAGCTAGTTAGGCTAAAGGTTAGGTTAAAAATAACAGATCACAGGAGAAACAATACCATACAGAGAGAGCATAGGCACAATTAAACAAGAAAAATGTCAGCCACTATCAAGGAAACTGGATTTGTCACCAAGAAGACAATAGTACGTTTTGTATGTTGAGCAACTCCTGTAGCAAAGCGTCTAATCCAAGAGGCAGGCTGGCATAATGGCCTATTTATGAGTATGAGAGGTGGGAGGACCGAGAAGGGTAAATTGTTTCTGGGGAGAGGGTTGCAGTGACTGGGTGTTGTGGGAGACAAACTCACAAAGCAAAGACCTTTTAATAATAGAGAGTGTGGAGTGATGAAGCATACGGGCTTTGTGATCATTTAGTCACACCAACTGTACAGCGACGCACTGAGGAGTCTTTTGAAGTGCATATCAACATGCAACTCTTTATGATGCATGAAATAAAGCCATTATTCTTAATCCATTATAGATAAGAATTCCCACAAGCACACCCCAATTTCCTCAAATTGTTATTGCTTCTGGGGCGCAGGGGGTAAGTCTGGATATTAGGAGGTCTTTGGTTGAAAAACAAATTTAAATGGGCTGCTTTTATGTTCACACTATAAAGTGCAATAATTGCGGGTATGCAGAATGTCTCTCATGTATTCGGGTCTAGTTTGCAAAAGACAATGAAGGTGAGTCAGTAACAAGTCTGTTTAGAAGAATGCAGTGTAGCTTGAACCATAAAATATCAACATTAAAGTAAATAGAGCGGATCTTACAGTATTTTTTTGCCTAATAGTTTGAATTTAAAACTAGATTTTAGGGAGTAACATTGATTGCAAACAGTGTGAAAGTCTGTTTAGACTCGGACACTGATATCAGACTTCAAAAGGACACCAAAAAGAAGAGACTGTGCAAGGGAATTGGGAGAACAAGTGGAAAAATCAGCATCCCAACACACCAGACACACTGCTATGAACATTACACAACACCATGGCATGAACACACTGCTAACGCCACACCGGTGAGTTTCATCTTGTTATCCTTACATGGACATATGCAATAATATTGCTAAATGCCTTAAATAACAGCTACTGGCCTGTTGGGACATGAGGTCAACAAGTTGAACACTTGCTAGAGAACGATGATATGACAGCTAAACTGCAAAGATCACTGCTTGAGCTGCATTCCTTTCCATTTACTACCAAGGCAGAAAAAAAGCTGGGGCCGAGACACAAAGGAGACTGAGGGGGAGGCCATTTCTCTGCTTTTAAGGCTGATCAATAAAATGCTCATGCAAGAGTGTAAGGAGAAAAGCGGAGCCCAGTTTGGCATCGCTTCCGGGCATGCAGAGCTTCTAAACTGAGCACTGGAAACTTGCAAATAGTGTGTTGGGGGTGGTGATGGCACAGTGGATAAGACGCATGCCTTTGATGTGAGAGACTCAGGTTCAACTCCCCACCGTGACATGTCCACTAATGTGTCCCTGTTGCTCCAGAGGCATGCAACCTCTGACATATATAGCAATTGTAAGTTGCTTAGGATAAAAGAGTGAGCTAAATGTAATAAATTTTATGTAATGTGTTAAGCAGACGCATTACACCTGTCTGCGTGTATGCTCACGTCATGTGTATTAATTCTTGGCAGCCATACTGCCAGTGTCAGACAAGTCTTTCAGCCACAGAGACCCAGTCAGTGAATCACAGTGGGAGTGAAACATAGTGGGAGACAGGAGTCACCTTTGACAATAACAGTGGATTATAATGCAGATGGATGCACTTCCTTTGCCACCTAACCAAAGGATTAGATAGTGTGAAATGCTGATACAGTGCGCTAAACAAAGTCATTGTTCACCATAACCACAAAAATGTGGAAGGAAATCAGGGAGGGAAGTTTGTCAGCATCATCAGTGAAATTCTAAAATGTCCTTATTAAAACTGTGCACAAAAAAAATTTGCGTGTGCCTCTTCTCCAAATTTCACAAAAGCATCCTTTTTTATTTGGGAGCATCTGCATCCAACCAACAGATGTGCAGTGAAGGTGGTCTGTGGAGCGGAATAGCCTGACGTAGCTACTGAAAGATTGGATGCCTTACTGAACCTTTTTTCTCAACCGGGTCAAATTGTTCAAATTTTGACCAACTCACTGCGCTCCTGTGTCAACATTCACATACCACAGTGACAAATGACAATGAACATGAGTGGAGCTGCTTTCCAGTCTTTACCTATTATACAAGGTGACGTGACATGAACTGCCACAATGGAGGGCCAGCAGGAGCAGGATCCAGATAAACTGAGACCTACAATTATCACCCATCAGCTACTAGGAGACACCACTTTGAAGTGAACATAAGCAGAAATGCCCTACACTTTAAAGTTTACATTGTTGGTTTTTGGTGCAGTCTAGTTGCTGCAATTGTTTATGGTTGGAGAAGTGTTTTTTGAGCACAGCTGAGCCCTTTGACAATAAAGCACTTTGCTAATCTCACTGTATGATAATCATTTTATTATGTACCATGTGTTGTGGGACAGTGTGTTGTCAAGGCGCTGTGTTCATCTGTGTGTCTGCCAATAACTCTTGTTATTAAACAGGTGGGCTTACAGCTATATCCAACAGAAAAATAGATGCCATTTTATCTAAAATTCTATTATTTCTTCTGCTTTGCTAGCTAAAATTCATTACGTAAAGTATGCTGCCACAGTAATCTTTGCTGATTATTGCATTAACTTAATTAATGGCCTCATTAGCAGGGTATGTTTAATGCATTACTGTGACTGTGGCAGGATTTCAGGCAGCTCAATTGACTCATGTTACTACTGTAATCAAGGTTCCTATGTTGAAATATGCGCAAAACAAATACAAACCCGGAACCAACCCAGGTGCCAAGCTGAGATATTGTTACAAAAAGGGCCGCGCAATAGGTTTGAGATTAAGAACTAGTCACACAGGTTATCAGCCCTGCGTCGCTGTACCTCAAGGTCCAGAATTAAACTTACATTTGCCAAGCTGTCAAACGACAGAAGTTGCTCCTTGACATGAGTGGAGTGCTACTATGTTTGAATGTGAAGGAATGAGGAAAAAGAAAGAAGTCAACAAAGAGAAGAACCAACGAGGAGTGGTGGCTTCAAAGCGCCTAATTGCCAACTGCACAGGCTGTGACTGGAAGTGGAATTTGTGGACATGAGCTATCCACAGAGCAATTTTTTTCCGGGTGCAAACCTCTGTACTCCCAGAGGGAGAAAAATAATAGAAGAGGGATAGGTTTTAATGTGTGGCTGTGGAATGCATGACATGATATAAACAGCAAATGCATCTGAAGGAGGACCCTGTGTAGAGAACAATCAACCCTGTAGAAGTGCCTTTGAGCAATGCAATGAATCCCTTCCACATGCTCTATAAATTGCCCTGACCTTTGAATTTAGTTATTAACACATGCAAACCTTTGTTCATCTATGAGGTTATTAAATCATCCTTTTTTTGCATGCTAGTGGTTTGATTTAGGCACAAGCACAATAAATGAACTGCTTAAAATAAGGAAAACAAAAGTGTTTGAAACTGATACAAAACTATGCTTTTGTCATCTGACCTGCTCAACAACCCCAACTTGTGAACAGGTAGGGCTGGGTTTTCAGTATGGCTATGCAAACAAGAATGCTTTCTTGTGCGCAAACCATCAAGTTATTCAGTAGCAAAAGTCACAGAAAACCTGCTCCACAGTGACATGTGTGCCCCTGTAGTAACACCAAACACAGTCAGAAGCCCGAGTTAGTCCTAAGTGAGAAGCACGATTTAATGTGTTAGAAACAACTGCTGTGGCGATTAAGCACACTCCAAAGAGACATTACAGTGTCAGATTTGAACAGTCGCCTTTGTGAAACTAGTGGCCGAAACACATACTGTAGCCTGGAAACACAATGAAGATGAAGGGATTGGAGCCGCTTTACCCACCTCATTGTTCGGCCAGAGTGGAGGTCCTCTCCTCTTAGGCAAGTTTGGCTGACTTCAGAGCTGAAGCCCGGCTTTAAAAGTCAAACTAGTGAAATAAAAAACTGAGAAAATTCGACCAAAAAAGCGCATCTACACCAGTCTATGATCTACACCCGCAAACGGGGTAGCCACTAGCGGAATAAAGAAGCACACCTCGACGATTTCCTGGTTGTGTGAAGCGGGAGAGGAGGAGGGGGCACATACAGTAGTGGTGCGGGCTTGTCAACTCCAATCACTATCCCACATTGGTTTCTGCGAGCTAGAGGTGAAGCCGAGAAGAAGCGGGGCTACACCAAAACCACAACTTATCTTATCACACTTTGAGTTGGTTCAACGCTCTGTTTCTGGAGATTAAACCCGTGTGTTTGCGCCAGACTTTTCCCCGCTCCCTCCGTCGGTCGGTAGCCTGTGTAAATTCATTGGAGTCTGGCCCAACCCGCCGGCTTCAAAGTAGACTACAATCCCATGATGCGTTCATGTACACCTCGTAAACCCCCCAATTCAGTGTGTTTAAATCAGGTTTCCTTGACTCTTCTTGTGTGTGACCTATCTTAGAAGTCTAGCAGTGGAAAGCTACAGAGACTGACATATGAAATGTGATAACCAGTGGTGGAAAGTAACAAATACAATTATTCAAGCACTGTTCCTACGCACACATTCAAGTGTTTCCATTTTCTGCTGCTTCTACTCCTCAACATTTCAGAGAGACATACTGTGCTTTTGTTACTCCATTACTTATAGTTGGCTACTCATTACTTTGAATATGAGCATTTTATATATAGGCTAAAACATATCTTACATATAAAACACAAGACCAGCTTATAAAATAGCAGCTGTATATAAAGTAGTTAAAATGAGCTTCACCTCAACCAGCTACACAATTAAAATACTGCTTACACATTAATATATCTATGACGATCTGACAAGAGCCATACTTTATAAATACTCTTGTATTGTAAGTATATTTTGCTTCTAATGCTTCCACTTAAATTTGTATAAATATATAAAATTGTGGATCCATTATCATTGAGGTAGACCTATTGCTACTTTTAAGTAACCACTGATGATAACAACACCTTACTCTAACATCAGCCATCTTTTAAATTGAAGTTTATGAGGAGCTTATTGATTTAAATGAGCATGTTAATATAGCACTATTTTAGGGCAGATGTCATAAAGTAACAATAATCAATGACATGCAACAGTCATAAACTAAAGTTAGATTTTTTTTAGACTTAAAAAGATTCAATGTATTCAAGCCCAAAGTTCAGGAATCACAACCTGAGAAGCCCTTATCTCCACCAACAAGCCCTGAACAGAGGATCAATTTGTGATATGGGACTGTAGTAACTCAAGTTCAAGTCCACACTTGCTAAAAACAAGATCACATTAAACAACTAACAAGACAAGATACCATACAACACTAGCAAAACTCAGTAATGCAGGTGTGGACAGAACATTTTCCAGCAATAGTTCAACATTGCAAACCATATACTAGTGGTATGTTTATAGCATTCTGTTTGCTTTTTTTTTTGGTAGTTGGTCAATTTCATTTCCAAATGTACTTGAAGGCAGCATCCCGTCCAAACTGGGGCCTAGCCAAGCCCTCCACCTCGCCCTACTGGCTGTCTGGGTAACTTCAGGTTCCTACTAGCAACTGTGGCTTTTGCGGTTATTCCTGTATAGACTTTCTGTAGCATTTCATGAGATTGTTTTTGGAATTACAAAATAAATAAGCACAGCGTTGATTCAAAAGATAGACAATAAGACTAGAAGCAACATCACTGAACCATAGAAATCTTCTATATAACCTGTGTTAAATGCTGAAGTAATACTTTCTAATTCTGTTAACAATGAAGGGAACAAAGGAGTCAGATTCCTCACATGGCCCAGTTTTCAACACTGAGACACTGCACACGCTAAAAGCACTCCTTCTTCCTAATGGGGACAGAAGTGGAACAGAGGATGAGAAAGGAATGCATTACGTCTGCATGGCATGTGTAAACATCCAGAAAGCCAATATGCCTTTTCGTCTCACTACACACACACACACACTTAGACATACAAGCTGACTGCTCTGAGCAACTGCTAGTCTGTTTTTTTTAGCCATATGTCCCCGGTTAACTCTGCTGTCTACTGAAGCTCAAACTGTCAATTAAATCACCCCCCCTCTTTCGCTGAGTGTGCAATTTTGCAGATATTGACACCAGATCATGGGTGAGCTTGTGCTCAAACATGTGTGGAGGTGTTTGTGTGATTTGTGTTGGCTCAGTCTCAAAATGTTGGTCCTATTCCCAGAAAGTAAAGAATTACAGTCATGCTGTAATTTTAGGTTTCTCCTGTGTGCCTCCCCTTCGCCACAGCTTTATTTCCACAGCTTGACGTCAGTCGGTCAACGCAGTCCACAGCTGGCAGTCTGACAGAAGACCTGTTTGACAACAGTGAGGAGGCCTCCATGAGACTTGGAACAAAGTGGCTACAATAGGTGTTGGTCCTGTTTAAGGTTTTAATTAAATGTGTGAGTGTGAGATGGAGAAAGGGAGACAAGCTGCTGAAGAAGCACACAGCAGTCTGATAGGATCTGGACAAAGTGGATGTGTTTTGTTACCGAGGCTGAATCACACTACGTTTCTCTCTGTCCCTGTGCGTTTGTAGAGACGCTATTACATAAACAGATTCAACTTCTACTACATCTTACGTCACAGAGTCCTGGACTTGTTGAAGCATTCAGTCCTGAGGCAGCGTCTGAAAGCCTCAGCTTCCACTGCTGGTTGAATGGCAGGCGAATAAAGAGAATTATACAACGATACTTCAACCAAGGAAACAAAGTGTCAATCTGGATCTTGAGGTTGGAGCGTGTGAACTGTTCCAAAGGAGCAAAGGTTTGATAGTAACTTTTTTTTTAAACAAACCCAAGACACAATGAATGTTACTGTTAATCAAGTGTTTTAATTATCTCTCTGTCTCTGTTTGACAGGGAAGGAATGTGACTGGAGGAGGTTAAAATCTGTAAAGAGGAACGAGACACAACTGTTCCCTAAGACGTCTGGGCTGGAGGCCAGCTTAGCAAAGGGCAGCAGAAGGATTTTAGAGAGACGTCCAAGTGACATGTCCTGAAATGTAGACCCTGAACTCCTCATAGGGCAAGTTGGGACCATTACACACTGACAAAGTACACCTGACTACTATCCTTTAATTAAAGAATACAAAATGAAATGCATTTATATGAATTCAGAACCTAAACATAAAACTTTTAATATCTGACCATTGTGCTACTTACATAAAAGGCACATCTGCATGTGACACAGATTTCCACGATACATACCAACATGAAAAAGGCCACTTGTCATTTGTCATATCTGTCTTTATATGGCTCAGATTAATAAATGTGTTTTTGTTCGTTTAAAATTAATTTGTCAGTCAAGCTAAAGCACAGTTTCTGTGGAAAACTAGGTACATTACTTTTATTATCCACTAGATGGCAATGTGACCTTAATATCTTACAGAGAAAAGTGTGTTAAAGGTGTCACATGTGTGCACTGGAACAGTTCCTCAAACTTTGTATTCCTGTGTTTTCTCATCTTGTGTAATCATTGTGAAACTATTCTTTTTTTAAATTGTGCTGATGTCTTTTCTTGGTCACCTGTCCTCTAGAAAAAATATTGTTATCCTAAAAGCATTTCAGACATATTCATAACAAATATCACAGCTAAGCTACCAATCAGTTTTAATATTTTATGAACATCAAACTCTAATGTTTGATGAAAATGTATTGTTTTTAGGCAAAACACAGAACAAATTATACAATCTAATAGATAAGATAGATACAGATATTTAGTATTCTTCACCACGCAACACAGACAAAAAGCTCAGGATAATGGAAAGTTTGAACAAGACCTCAGTATGAATACAATCACAAGTAGGCCTATGTTCCCTATATGCCTGAAACACCACCACTGATCATTCTCCCATGATTCTAACAGACATACAAAAAAGCCACTGAACAGTCATGAAAAGTCCTTATTATCTCCAGTGGAGGACAATCACCAAGTACATTTGCTCAAGTACTGTACTTAAGTACAAATTAGAGGTATTTGTACTTTCCTTGAGTATTTTCTGTTTATGCCACTTTCTACTTCTATTCCAATACATCTCAGAGGAAAATGTTGTACTTTATACTTATATTTTTCTTACAGCTTAATTACTAGTTACTTTACAAAGTAAGATTTTAACAAACAAAACATACAAATAGAAAAAAATATGAATATTGTGATTTGTAAATTAAACTGCCATTTAATTAACTGGCAACTACTGTGATAATCATTTAAGTCATTTTTCATGTAAAAACATTTCATGTTCACAAATGTGAAGATTTGCTGCTTTTCCTTTATTTTAATGTATTTTTTAATAACTGAGGTTTGGACTGACAAAACAAGCATTGTGAAAGTGTCACTTTGGCTCAGGGTAACTGTGACATCTAGCAGCAGATTAATCCAAAATGAAAATAATCATTAATTGCAGTCAGCTACAATATAAAAACCTGCTTTTACATTAATGGATGAGGAATAACAATCTAATGACATAAAAGTATAGGCCTAACAGTCACAGGGCATTTTTTTCATTCTGCATTGACAAGGCTACTTTAACATTTAACACTTTACATTTTCCTTACATATTTTTACTTAAGTAACATTTTCAGTGTAGTCTACTTGTATTTGTAACAGAGTTTTAACAGTGAGGTATATTAGTAGGTAGCCTACTTTACTTAATACTTCATCCACCACAGATGTTCTCCAGTTAAAAATAGCATTTCAATTTCAATTTTTAAAGAAATCAGCAGACCAGGTTTAGCCCTCTTGCTTCGCCACTACAGCAGTGCTTGTTTGTAAATAGGTCCGGGTCGATACGCCTGATCCCTCTTGTTTTGACCGCCACTGAATGTGTCCTTGCAGTTACTGTCATTCACATTTAAAGAGATATGAGTGGAGGCTGTGTTTGTGTGTTTACGGAGCCTCTGCCCTCTCTTCCTCCTCCTCCTCTTCTCTCTCCACCTGGCCTAGCCGGCTCTGACACCCGGGCCGTGGCTCTGCTTGAAAACAAACTGCGGCGGTGGCTCCGGTTACCGGGCCCGATCGATGCGCTGCACGGTGTCGCGTTGCTCGGAGGCTCGAGTATCGATGCATGGCCGATCGCTATCATAATCACACTTCCCCCCTCTTATCGCTTACCTACTGAATAAAACATATGCCTTCCTGCTTGTGGATCGCTCACCACCCCGCCAAAATCTGGAGGGAAAGAGACTTCTTGAAGTGTCTTTGAGATGAGTGAAGTAACATGAGAAAAGCGCATGAAGATACTGAACAAGCAGGTCCCCAAAGTTGTTTTTATCTCAGACATCTCCAAATAGACCCACCGGCTATTTTATAGTGCT